GGGGACGCCCCGCGGCCGCTGCATCGGTGCGCGGCGGCACCGCGGGGACTCAGCGGGCAGGGGGCAGGGGCAGCAGCCGGGGTCTTCCAGGGAGGACGTGGGGCCACGCTTCCCGAGCAGAGAACACGTGCTTGCATCAGCCTAAGCCACCGCCTACCCGCCTTCAGGGTGCTGGTCTACGTTTGTGACAGCCAATCCAATTTTCACTCAGAGTTGGCATTAGCCGCTGACCTTCCCTTGGGTTCTGAAACCCCTGATTGTGAAGCATGGCCACAGATACCTTCGTTTTATACAGCGGCTACAAAACTCTGGCCACTGTGCTATGAAGTTATATTCCCTCCTGTGCATGCGTGGTCGCTGTGAGGCAGAGCTCGGTTTGAATAAAGCTCCAGGCTAAGAGGTCTCTTTAGCGCAGGGCAGGGTAGCAGAAACGACTCCCTGGCCACTCTCAGAGGCTTCCTGAATAGAACACATGCCCGCAGCATACACTGCAGCCCAACTACTGCTAACACCGTTCAAACAGCATTGATTACCCAGAGCTCCATCTCCAGGCCGTGCTTGGAGGGTATCCAGTCGGCACCTCTGAAGACGACTGCAGAACTGCCCTGGCCAGTCAGAAAACAGACTCATCGCCTGAAACATGGCCTGCCTTAGCGTGAAGCCATAGCAAAGGGACATGCCACCTGCCCTGAGTGGCAGCAGGTCGGTTGAGCAGGCCAGGCCAAGGCCCAGCAGGCAGCAGGCGGGCAGCCTCGTGTACAGGGAAGAACAGGAAGATGAGCAAGTTGCCTTAGTGAACTGTGGCCAGGGTCCCGGCTCAGCCAGCCTGGCAGATGATGCTTAGTGACTAACTCTGACTTGCAGGGAAAAAAAGAACATCTCTTTTTACTACTGCATTCATCAAACAGTGAAAGAGCACTTACTATGTGCTGGAAATGACACTGGGCACCTTTCGGGAGGTTTAGTGAGATGGTGACAGATGTGGAAGTAAGTGTGGTAGAATGGACAAAGCCAGGACTGGGTAAGGAGGGACAAGGCACAAGGAACTGACTCCCCGCCTCTTGTGAGGAGGGTGGTTGGGCCAGGTGGGCAGGCGGGCACAGGGGATGTGGGTTCAGCTGAGGTAGCAGAGATCAGACCATGGAGGGCCTTAGTGGCCATACTAATAGGTTTTTCGGAGGTGACAAGGGAATGACTGGAATGCTTGCAGTGCTCTGGCAGCCACACGGAGAAGTGCAAGGACATTTTAGAGACCAGCTGGGAGAACAATCCAGGGACTGGAGAGACGAGGAATTACGTTAAGGCACAGGCACTGGGAGGGGGCAGGTAGGGCTGGACTCTAGAAATAAGAGGCAAGAGAGGAAAATCAGGCCGGGTGCCATACAGCTCACATCTAAAACCCCAGCACTTTGGGAGGCTGAAGTGGAAGATTACTTGAGCCCAGGAGTTCAAGACCAATCCAGGCAACATAGCAAGACCTCCATCTTTTTTTTTTGGAGTCTCACTTCGCCGCTCAGACAGGAGTGCAGTGGCACACTCACGGCCACCCCAGCATCGACCTCCATCTCTTAAAAAGAGACAGAAACCTAGAATGGCTCCCAAGTTTCCAGTTTCAGTGACAGGAGGTGCCTATGCAGTACGTTCCAGCACTTGGAACCTTACATGCGTTGCAGCGTACTAAGAGTATGGAGATACGCAGTGGGTCTGGAGCTCAGAAGCTTCTGAACAGATAACTGGGTGCACACAGGACGTGTGTGTGGACTAAGGCGAGACAGCCAAGACGCATTCCTGGACCCAGCCCCACCCCAAGAGGCTCACGGGCCAGGGTGAGCACGGTCTTGGCGGCAGTGTTTGAGTCAGCAGAGAAGCCAGACGAGAAAGTGACACCCTAGTGGGCAACGAGGAGCGGCCAGCTGTCAGTGTTGTGGACAGTATGGCTGTGCGGCCAGAGCTAGGCCCTGATCTCTCTGGGCCACGCGCAGGGGACAGAGGCTCCAGCATTAATGGATTTTATAGACAAAGGTGCTCTGGGGACTCCTGACACTCCTTCCCTGTCCCAAAGCAGGGACAGAAGAGAGACTGCCTCTTTTTCTGGTCTGCCCAAAGCAAGACATGAACCTACTTGATTTTGGCCTCTACAGGGAATGCCCGTATAAACTCAGCTTTCTGTCCCATCTCGCCTCATCTCCATGTCACAGGACTGTTGGCCTAAGGCTCAGAAATGTCAGAGCAAAGCAGTGTGACCTTGGACAGTGACCTCCACCCCATGTCCATCCTGTTTCCTTGCTGGGAAATTGAGGGCTGGGTTAAGAAAATTCTTAGAAGTGACACTGACTTAGGATACTGTCCTCTGCCTGGTAAGAGTAACTGGTATTTCATAGTAGAGACAAGTCCAGCTTGGTGGAAAAATGCTATGAGGACGTGTCAGACACTGGACAATTCCTATGTGCCGGGCACGTGCTGCCATTCCGTTCTCAGCAACCTGGTTCCTACTTCTTTCCAAAAAGCCCGCGATGACTCAGTGGTGTGCAACCTGGGGCAGTTAGCCAGGCAAGGCTGACGTCTGGGCCTTCCTTCTCCCAGTGCAAGGTGCAGATGTGTTACAACGTTCTGAGGCAACCAAAAGACTACAGACTCTCCTATAAATCTGTTCAAGAAAAACAAAGTCTCAAACTGCATTTCCTCGACGGAATTCTCAATCACAAGGGCAGCATGAATTCACGACAGTGACGCTACGATGCCGACCACCATCTATTTCAGTTTGACGCTTCAATTAGAACGTATGCTTTCAAACAGAACAGGCGATTCAGCTCAGAGTCAAGTCTGAATTTATGCAAGTCACTTCCTTCTGCCTCTTAATTTATCTACAATTTTAACCTAGAAAGCAAAATCTAAAAATAGGTTTTTGTACATGCCACTCATTGCCAGAAAACATTACCTTGCTTTTTTTTTTTTTTGAGTTGGAGTCTCACTCTGTCGCCCAGACTGGAGTGCAGTGGCCACTCCCAGCCGATCCTTCTGCTGGGCTCCAGCGATCCTTCTGCTCAGCCTTCCAAGTAGCTGGAACTACAGGCACGCGCTACCACACCTGGCTGATTTTTTGATTTATTGCAGAGATGAGGTCTCGCCAAGTTACCCAGGCGGGTCTCGAACCTGCGGGCTCAGGCAGTCCTCTCACCTCAGCCTCCCAAAGCAGGGGATTACAGGCTGAGCCACCAAGCCCAGCTAACATTACCTTTCTTAAGAAAATTTAGAAAACACTGCAGCTATCATTTCAAATTAAGCCAGAGAGAAGGCACTCTTGACTTTTAACTGTCAGCAAACCAGGGAAGGGGCAGGGAAGGAAGAGAGAACACCAGACGCAGGGGCTGGGAGGCCAGCGGACCAGCACCTTCATGTGGGGACCAGCTTTTCAAGGTGCTCTTTCCCCAGGTCTCGGCTCAAACGATGTCATGCAGCCACCCGAAGCAAGAGCCAGGCCAGCCCCTCTGCTTACAAACTGGAGATATAAACCTTTATTTCACAACTTTGCCATAATTCACTTTCTAAAAAGACATGGACCAGGAGACACTGCTGAAAACACTGGAGGCCAGATGCCGGCATCTTCCAGGTAGGAGCGCAGGTGTGGTCACTCCAGGCCGACGTGTTCCCGGGCTCTCAGGCAGCACAGGCCAGATGCATCGGTACTGTCCAGTCCCAGTTTTACTTAGAGCCACCTCCTTTTTTGGGGCCATTAGTCCTCATTTCATGCCAGATTTTCACTAGAGGCTCCCTGTTCTTCCAAATCAGTTCATGACCATACGTAATATACCATCTGGAGAAAAGAAAAACACAATGGGTCCGACATTCAAACAGTGTGACATATAAATGCTAAGTACCATGATGCTATCAAGTTGACATTTTTAAAATCTAATGCCACTGCCATTTACCATGCAGCGTATTAAAACAACTGATTAATTTTATAGAGACAAATGGCTTAGCTTTAATATACAGAGTAGCCCAGGCACAGTGGCTCACGTCTGTAAATCTAGAACTTTGGAAGTCTGAGGGGGGAGAAGCACGTGAGCCCAAGAGTTTGAAACCAGCCCAGGCAACATAGTAAGACCTCGTCTCTACAAAATATTTTTTTAAAAAACCAAGTTGGGTGTGGTGGTAAGTACCTGTAGTCCCAGGTACTCAGGAGGCTGAGGTAGGAAGATCCCTTGAGCCCAAAAGTTCAAAGCTGCAGTGAGCTATGACCAAGCCACTGCACTTCAGCATGGACAAAAGAGTGAGATGCTATCTCTCTTACACACACAACATACACAGTGTATACAAAGGTTGAGTAAGACAGGTTATGGGTGAACATTCTACAATGTGTAAGTCAGTCACAGGCATTACTCCTGCTTTCATGCCTAGAAGTGCATTACTCCTGCTTTCATGCCTACAAGTGATGTCACACTTTTTCTATTACAGCAAGAGGGAACTGAGTCTGAAAGAAAGTAAGGTGCTAGTAGCTTCTAAGTGGTTGCTTAAGGACTCCCTGCAGGCCAGGCTGCAGGTCAGCCTAAATCAATGCTCTAAAGTGTCAGTATCAGCATTAATAACCATGACTGTAACAGCTTACATGCCTTTGCCAGTTTCCTAACAAGCTATTCAAAAGGTGGGTCGCTCATCCAAGTTCTGTCCATCCTTTAAGGTATAGTAGTTGCCATCCTCATTCTCCCGTTAAAAGCTGCCCCAAAGGCCGAGCGTGGTGGCTCAAGCCTGTAATCCCAGCACTCTGGGAGGCCAAGATGAGAGGACTGCCTGAGCTCAGGGGTTTGAGACCAGCCTGAGCAACATGGAGAGATCACGTCTCCACAATAAATCAAAAATTAGCCAGGTGTGGTGGCACGTGCCTGTGGTTCCAGCTACATGGAAGGTTGAGGCAGGATCGTCCGAGCCCAGCAGGTCGAGGTTGTGGTAGCTGTGAGCGTGCCACTGTACTCCAGCCTGGGTGATGGAGTGAGACTCCAACTCAAAAAAAAAAAAAAAAAAGCTGTCCCAAGGCAGTGAAGCCATGAGCCCAGGAGGTGGGAGTACTGGGAGGATTCCTGACTTCACTTGTTCAGGCTCCACAACTAGGAATCACCAGACTGAGGTCAGAACCCAAATGTGACACTGCAGCCTGGGCCCTAACTGCTGTGCTATCCCACAGCAGCATCTCCTCTGAGCTGAGGAGCACAGAGCCTGCCACGGAGAAGCTCCCAGCGCCGTAGCCCTGGGCAGCACAGGCTGCAAGTGTAACTGGCTGGGAGGGGAAGGCCGGCAAGGCTTCTGGGAATGGCAGTGAAGGAAAGCTTCTGTTACTGAATCCTTTATTTAAACAGATTTCATGTTTTCTGAGACAGAGACCAGATTTTATTGATTTTGCATCTTCCAGGCACCTGACTGAAAAAAAAAAATGCCGTTTGACTTAAATTAGATCAGAATAGCAGTTAATAGTTTAACATTTAAAAAAATGTTCTGAATGTGTAATTTTTAAATTAAAGGGCTTGATTTGTACCTAAAGCTTAATATTCACTAAATATAGTTAAAATCTGATTATAAAAATAGTTATCAGCCAGGCTCAGTGTCTCAGCCTGTAATCCCGTGCCTTTGGGAGGCTGAGGTGAGCGGATTGCCTGAGCCCGCAGGTTTGAGACCCACCTGGGCAACTTGGCGAGACCTCATCTCTACACTAAATTAAAACATCAGCTGGGCGTGGTAGCACATGCCTGTAATTCCTGCTACTTGGAAGGCTGAGCGGAAGGGTCGCTGGAGCCCAGCAGGTTGAGGCTGCAGTGGCCGGGAGCAGCCACTGCACTCCAGTCGGGGCGACAGAGTGAGACTCCAACTCAAAAAAACAAAAACAAAAACAAAAACAAGTTACCATCAAAAAATTTAAAACAAAGAAAACAGTCAGCTAATTTATAGAAAGAAAAAAAGGCTTTTTTGTTGTTGTTGCCCAGGTTGAGTGCAGTGGCACACTCACAGCCACGATAGCCTCAACCTGCTGGGCTCAGGCAATCCTTCCACCTTAGCATTCCAAGTAGCTGGAACCACCAGACATGCGCCACCATGCCCAGCTAATTTGGCAATCCTCTTGCCTCTACCTCTCAGATTGCTGGGATTAGAGGTGTAAGCCACCACGCCTAGCAGAAAAAAGGCATTTTAAAAGCTCAGCCTGTAATCCCGTGCCTTTGGGAGGCTGAGGTGAGTAGACTGCTTGAGCCCACGGGTTCGAGACCTGTCTGGGCAACTTGGCGAGACCTCATCTCTACAATAAATCAAAAATCAGCCAGGCATGGTAGCACGCGCCTGTAGTTCCAGCTACTTGGAAGGATCACTGGAGCTCAGCAGGTCGAGGCTGCAGTGGCCGGGAGCGGCCACTGCACTCCAGTCTGGGCAACAGAGTGAGACTCCAACTCAAAAAAAAAATAAAATAAAATAAAATAAGAAATTAATAGGCATGTAACAAATTGTGCTTAAAGTAAAATAGGTCAATTTATTCACTTTTTTTTTTTCAACATGCTGTTGCTGGATTGAATCTGGTGAGTTCAGAGCAAGAGAAAAAGGAAAACCCTAAGATTCAAATGCAATTATAAAAATTTTCAGAAGAAATGAATCACTTGTTAAGAAGGTTCCATTAATGTTTTCCCAAATCATTTTAGCCTACTTATTTCAAGCAAAAAGTCAAATATTTTAATCTTGCAGGTACACAGTTTTGATTATATTCACAAATCTGAATGAAACTGGTCATTTAGCTAAAGTTAGGAAAATACTTCAGAATGACTGATTTCTGAGGTGCCCTTTCTTATAGCAGCAACCCAATACCCAGTGCTCATTCAGAAACTCCAGCTTGGCAGTTATTAGCTGTGTGATCTTGGACAAATTACTTTTTTTTTTTGAGTTGAAGTCTCACTCTGTCGCCCAGACTAGAGCGCAGTGGCCGCTCCCAGCCACCGCAGCCTCGACCTGCTGGGCTCCGGCGATCCTTCCACCTCAGCCTTCCAAGTAGCTGGAACTACAGGCACGCACTACCACGCCCGGCTGACAAATTACTTTTTAAAAGTAGCTTCTTTATCTGTAAAATAAAATACCTCACAGAATTTTTTTTTTTTTTTTTTTTTTTGAGTTGGAGTCTCACTCTGTCACCCAGGCTGGAGGGCAGTAGCATGTTCCTGGCCACCACAGCCCCGACCTGTTGGGCTTAGGTGATCCTTCCACCTCAGCCTTCCAAGTAGCTGGAACCACAGGCACACGCTATGCCTGCCTGATTTTTTTTTTTTAATTTATTGTAGAGATGAGGGCTCATCAAGTTGCCCAGGCTGGTCTCAAACTGTGGGCCCAGGCAATCCTCTCATCTCAGCCTTCCAAAGTGCTAAGATTATAGGCGTGAGTCACTGTACCTGGCCACCTCACAGGATTTTAAGAATATTAAATTAGCCCTTCCTTCATAGAATTCTATGAGAATTGATGTCCCCATATATTCAATACCCATCAGCTACCATTACTGCAAAAGTAAATGTGCAGCTGTAAGATCTGGTCAGAGATATTAAATCAGGGAAATGCACAAGTGGATGCTAATGGAATCATTGTAATCAACATCACGGCACTTAAAAAATAAAAATAAAAGATTTTAGATTTCTAAATCTAGAGTAAAGAATGTTAGAAAAGATGAATTTGGGGTGTGACTGAGATCTAGCAAATGAAAAGGAGCTGAAATTAGAAACCACAAAGGAAAAGGATTTCTCCACCACTTGGATCCTGGACTTAAATGCATTTGATTCAATTATTTTCAGAATGGAAAAAGGTCATCTAATTATGGTTCAGGAGAATAAAACTTTGCTGGCGAGAAAATCCTTAAAGTATATATGTGGAAAAATCTAGATCAATGCCGAGTTCATAAAACAGAACCCCTTTCCTAAGTCTTTGTGTCTCTCATATTGTAGCATCAGGTCAGTTTCTACTATTTATAATGTGCTGTTCTTAGAACTAGAACTTGCATATGTACTCTTTAATCACCACTGAAGATTATAAATGGCATAATGGCATTTAGTTCTGCCGCCTACTGGGCAAAACTGCTTCCCTTAGAATAGATATTTCTACTCTTTTAAATTACAAAACTTAAGTTTTTGAAACAAAATAAAAACCAAGTAAGGGCAAAAGGCAATGTTTAGTCAATAAAAGGTTGCCAGGGGATCCAGCCATCAGAGACAAGACCTCTGCTGAAAGGTCTCTAGGGTCAGCTGGGCTCCAAGAGTCCTGAGGCTATTTCCAAGACGGATTGGCTACTAAACTATGTTTCTGGCAAAATCCCTTTGTCTGAGCATGGAAGCTCTTATAGCCACCATGCTATTTGTCTTCAAAATGGTATGACAGTGTGGCTATGGATCTGGGTTTAAATTTCGGCTCTGCTATTTATCAGCTATCTGGCCTGAGGAAGATCACTTTTGAGCCTGAGTTTCCCGTCAGTAAAATGGGAATCATAATAGTAGACAAAAAGTAACTAGCCTGGTGCTGCACATAAGAGCTATCTATGCTTAGGGAGTGGTCCATGTTGGTTATGGTTCCCGGTCTCTACCCTAGTCATGGAGCACTCCCTTCCACACTCAGTGCAGGCAGAGAAATGGCTCTGCCAGCTCAGAGCGTCTGCATAGCACTGGTGAGACAGAGGTCAGTGGTGGCAGGTGGGACACCAGGCAGGAAGAGGAGGGCAAGAAAGCCTGAGAGCAGGAAAAGGAGATGACAGCACAGATTGGGGGCCAGGCAGCAGTCTTTAAGAGGGGCTGGGAATGACAACAGGTAAGGAGTTGGGGTAACTTTAAGGCTAAGGTAGGGTAAAGGCACAGACTGTTTCTATGAATGAGCAAGGCAGGGACAGGGTTGACATCCTCATGGCCCCCTCGTTTGGTTGAGGTTTCCTCACCCTCCCAGCCCCACCTTTTTCTGCTTCTACCATGTCTCACTCTGCCTTGGGAAGGCAGAGAGGGAAAGGGGAGAGGGAAGGGGGAGAGAAATGGGGGAGGAAAAGGGCAGGATGGGGGAGGAAAAGGGCAGGATGGGGGAGGACAGGGGAGGGTGGGGGAGTGCATGACCTGAGGAAGCAGGTTAGCATCTGTTAAACTTACATTCCAAAGAGAGCTCCCCCAAGATGTGCTGCATGATCAAAAAATTTCCATCCCAGGATCATTCCCGCTGTATCCATGGCAATAATGGCTTTTAGGGCCTGAAAGCCAGCAAGAGAGAACAGAAGTAGTAAAACGTGAATTCCTCCAGTACTGACATTTCTAACTTAAGGGGTAGAATTTAGTCAATGAGAAAACATCACCAGAACTTCGCTTCATAAAAATACTTACATTCCCTGCCGTGAACGTGAACATCGGAAGGAAGATAATGGCAAGCCTCCCTTCTGGGATCTTAGTGCAGACAGCTGCAAGGATGGTCATGATTGCACCAGACTGCAAAGTAACACAGTGGGGAAAACAGGAAACGCAGTGTGGCTACAGCGTCTAAAGAAGCTGCACTTTTCCCACAAAGTTTATATACCGCACATTTCTAGGGGAGCACAAATGTGACTCAAAGGCTTTCAGTTACTAAAGTTACGCAGTATCAGGCACGGGAGCTCCAGGTCCTTCACACAATAATCACTTAGGAAGACTGACCGCCAATACAGGGCAGCAAGATGTGGAACGAGCAGCCTGTGACTGCTTCACGAACCGCAGGGACAGCGCTACATGTGTCACATGCACCATCTCACCTAAGAAGTAACTTCTTAAACTTCTCCAACAAAGCTCCCTAGCCAGAGAAAGTGAGCATGAATTTGCCCAAAGAAACCCATGTGCGTGAAATTTCTTCCAAGTATGTTTCATCTTAAAAATTTATTTTCCTTGAAACCGGTGAGCAAAGGCTATGCTCCAGGAAAGTGTGCTGTGTTTACCTGGTGGCTCTGTTTGAGTCGCACCCCACCCCCAGCATGGCCCAGGGACACACATGTATCCATCTGCCAGAGGAACACCTCCCCCAACAACCTCTTACTATAGAACAAAAACCTGGAACCCAAGCCCACGACCTTAGGATCTGCAAATCAACGATTCTTCTTAGAGTTGAACAGTTATAATCACTGTGTAAACTTTTAGTTTTTTTAATATGTGTTTTTCCTGGTTCCTATATAATCTTCATAATTTAAATTTATAATGGCTATCAAATTTCTCTTGGATAAATTCTGCTAATTTAACCCTCTTCATGTTAGACATGTTCCAATTCCTCTAAACGGCGTCATATTTGAAGAACTGGGTCATAATCTCCAGTTTACATTAAATCTCAGGATAATCATTCATCCAAATACTTCAGTCATACCATGTAGCAGGCTCTATGCTTGATGCTAGGGATACAGAGGTGAACAAGATCTACAGTCTCTGCCTTTATGGAGCTCACAGAATGGCAGAAAAGACCTAAATAAGTAAAAACAACAAAATGGGATAGTTATAGAGAAGTACAGCATGTCAGAACAACACAGGGGAGGGAAAGCTCAGGGTTAATAAGTGACATCAAGCTCTGCATGGCAGGTAACCAGGTGTGGGCCATGCAGAGGAGGAAGAGATGGGAAGAGTGTTCCAGGCAGAAAAATAGTATAAACCACGCCCGGCAGGCTGGGCTCAGTGGCTCATGCCTGGAAGGCTGGGTGCAGTGTCTCACGCCTGTAGTTCCAGTTACTTGGGAGGCTATGGCAGAAGGATCACTTGAGCCCAGGAATTGGAGGCTACAGTGAGCTGTGATCATGCCACTGCATTCCAGCACTCCACTGGGCGACAGAGTGAGACCCAGCCCCTAACTCAAAAATAAATAAATAACCGGACCACGCCTGGAGGGTAACGAACACACCCCAGCAGAAGAATATAGAGAAGCTAAGTGTGGCTGATGAAGAGGGAGAGAGCAGAGGCGGCAGGCGCTTTAACGCAGCCTGTCCTCTACCACAGTTCACAGCAGAGACAAACCTTAGTCAACTATTAAAAATAAACTCCCCTGAGGCACAGTCTACAAGATATCTTCCCCCCAATCTTCAAAAGTATCAAGGGTGCGAAAGACAAGGAAAATCTGAGAAACTGTCACAGACTGGAGAAGACTAAGAAAGCAAGGCAATTCAACGCCATGGAGTAAGAAAAGGACATGAAAAAACTGGGGAAATTCCAATATAGTCTGTAGTTAATACTATCATAGCAACATTAATTTCCTAGCATTAATAAGTGAGCCACAGTTATGGAAGACATTAATGTTAGGGAAAGCTAATTTGGTAGATACCTTCACCCTGGCCACAGCCCTCAAGTAAAAACCGATTCAAGCTAGAATAATCAATGGATGCAATTTCTGGGTAGTAGAGGAGGGAGGAGGTTGATGAGCAAGACAGTTAAATAATCTCAAAGTATCTTCTCACAAATTATTAGCTTAAAAAGGAAAAATAACTTTACAGTAGAGAAGCTGGACAACACTTTAACTATTCACCAAAATTATCCCCACCAGCAAAGGACAAATGAACATCAAGTACCTCTAAGCTGTGATGTCTGAGAAGGACACACCACCACTTCAGTAATTTTCCAACCAAAAATACATAATCTGAATCTAGTCATGAGGAAATAGACAAACCCAGTTGACAGGCATTCCATCAAATAACTGGCCTGCACTGTTTAAAATTGTTGATGGCATCAAAAACAAAGAAAGGCTATGGAAATTATCCAGCTTTTAGGAGACCAAAGAGACATCACAACTAAAGGCAACACATGGTTTTAGGCAAGGGAGAAAATAACTATAAAGGACATTATTGGGACAATTTTAAAAACTGGGATAAGAACTGTAGATGAAGGTGTTATATCAATGTTAAATTTCTTGAATGTGATAACTGCACTACAGGATAAATAAGGATATTTGTGTTCTTAGGAAATATATGCTGAAGTATGTAGAGGCAGAAGGGCATAATATATGAACCCTATCCTCAAATGAAAAAAATATGATATAAAGAGAAAATGATGAATGAAATGTGGATGAATCTCGGTCAAAAATATTTCGAGGCCTTTTCTTTTTCTTTCTTTTTTTTAGTTCGAGTCTCACTCTGTCACTCAGACTGGAGTGCAGTGGCCGCTCCCGGCTACTGCAGCCTCGACCTGCTGGGCTCCAGCAATCCTTCCGCCTCAGCCTTCCGAGTAGCTGGAACTACAGGCACACGCTACCACGCCCGGCTAATTTTTGATTTATTGTAGAGATAAGGTCTAGCCAAGTTGCCCAGGAGGGTCTCGAACCCTTGGGCTCAAGCAATCCATTCATCTCGGCCTCCCAAAGCGCTGGGATTACAGGCTGAGCCACCAAGCCTGGCCTAGAGGTCTTTTAAACTGAAACACAGGCTTCAATGTAAAACCTAAAATAAAAACCTTCTGGAAGAAAACATAGGAGGGCCGGGGTCAGTAGCTCAGCCTGTAATCCTGTGCCTTTGGGAGGCTGAAGTGAGTGGATTACTTGAGCCCGGGGTTCGAGACCCACCTGGGCAGGCAAAACCTCATCTCTACAATAAAATCAAAAAATTAGCCGTGCATAGTAGTGCGCGCCTGTAATTCCGGCTACTCAGAAGGCGGAGGTGGAAGGATCACCGGAGCCCACGAGGTCGAGGCTGCGGTGGCCGGGAGCGGCCACTGCACTCCAGTCTGGGTGACAGAGTAAGACTCCAACTCAAAAAAAAAAAAAAAAGGAAACATAGAAGGAAAATCTTTGCGACCTTGGATTAGATAAAAATTTCCTAACTATGACACCATAACCATGATCCATAAAAGAATAAATTAAGAAATTGGAGTCAATACAAATGAAAAACTTATACTCTTTGAAAGACATTACACAGAGAAAAAAAGGCAACACACAGGCAGAGAGAAAATATTTGCATGTCATACATCTGATAAAGGATATATGTCAAAAACATATAAAGAATGTCACAAACAATAAGAAAACAATTTTTCATTAGTCATTAGGAAAATGAAAATTAAAATCCCACTAAGATATCATTCTATCAAATAACTGGCCTGCACTGTTTAAAATTGTTGATGGCATCAAAAACAAAGAAAGGCTATGGAAATTATCCAGCTTTAGAAATTTTTAAAAGACCGACCATACCAAGTACTGGTGAAGATACAAAGAAACTGGTACTCACACACTACTGGTGGGAAAGTATTATAAAATACTATAACCACTTTGGAAAACAGTTTGTCAGTTCCTTAAAAGTTAAACATGTATCTACCATATGGTGTAAATGTTCCACTCCTAGTTGTTTACCCAAGAGAAATGAAAGCATATGTCCATACGAAGAGTTGTATACAAATGTTCACAGTTTTCTTTTTTTTTTTGTAAAAGCCAAAAACTAGAAACTACCCAAATGTCCATCATAAAGTGAAAGGAAAACACAACATGGTACACTCATACAATGAAATATTCCTCAATATAAAAGAATATTACTGATATACACAACATAGATGAATCTCGAGGTAATTATATAAAGTAAATGAAGGCATGGCAACAACAGCAAAAAAGTCTATATGCTGTATGATTCCATTTGAAAACTAATTCATCATTTTGTGGTGGCACACTCACGGCCATCACAGCCTCAAACTGCTGGGTTCAGGTAATCTTTCTGCTTCAGACTTCCAAGTAGCTGGAACTACAGGCAAGCACCACCACACCTAGCTAATTTTTTTGTTTATCGTAGAGACAGGTCTCGCCCAGTTGTCCAGGTTGGTCTTGAACCCGTGGGCTCAGGCAGTTCTCTCGCCTCCACCTCCCTAAGTGCTAGGATTACAGGCATGAGCCACCACGCCCGGCTCAAACTAATTTATTTTTACAGAAAGTAGGTAAATTGTTGCCTAGGGACTGGGGAGGGACAGTAAGGAATGACTACAAGGAGCAACCAAGAAACCATGATGAGTATGATGTTGAATGTGGTGATAGTTTCATAGTGTCTACATGTCAAAGCTTACCAAATTATAAACTTTAGATATATGCAGTTTTTTGTATGTTAATTAGTAAACCTGAGTTACTTGCTTTTTAAAAAAAGACTTGGCCAGGTGTGATAGCTCACTCCTGTAATCCCAGCAATTTGGGAGGCTGAGGCAGAAGGATTGCTTGAACCCAGGAATTCGACACTAGCCTAGGCAACATAGCTCAAACCACATCTCTACATAAATTAGTTGTATGCAGAGGTGCAGGCCTATAGTCCCAGCTACTGGGGAGGATAAGGTGGAAGGATCACCTGATCCTAGGAGGTCAAGGCTGAAGTAGGTCGTGACTGTGCCACTGCATTCCAGCCTGGATGACAGAGTGAGACCCTGATTCAAAATTAAAAAAAACAAAACAAAAGAAAGAATAAAAAAGACTACATGGGAGTCCTTTGTATTATTTTCTGCAAGTTTTACAGATGCAATGTTAAAAG